TACTTCTCTCTCGAGCAAGCACAAAACTCTCAAATATATCACACCCAAAATGCAATAATGAAGTTAAACCACCATAATAATTTAGACCCGTTTCAGATTAACATCACAAATCACTAATTGACAACACCCATTTAGTAGAAGGCAACAATTGGTCACATATTCAAACCCCCAAGGTTAGGGTTTTAGCCAATCATGATGAAAAGATGAAAATCAACACCTGCCACGTTTACCATAGCTAGGTAAATGAAATTCGGAAGTTAAAATCAACTAAAATCTTCTCTATTACAAAATATCAATGAAAAACCTTGCAAAAATCACTTGAAATCCACAATGTTAGTGTTTTTTTCTCTCAATCTTTTGTTCCTCACGTTTCTGCATACCTTCTCTCTTTTGCAAAAATCAATTTATGCAAATCTGATGTGTGGCTGTTTGGGACCAATCGGCGAGGTAAGTCGGGCTTCGCCGACCGTTCGGCGACTCACCGATTTTCCTCCATCTCGCCTTTATTTTTCACCTCTTCTTAGTCCAGCCACTGTAATTTTAGGCAAGCAAGATAGGGATTGTCGAGTGATTCCGCAATGCGCCCTTTTTTCTTTCATCTCGCTCATCAGCACTTAGCTGGATCGCCATCAATACTTTTGTTGACCTTGTCATCCATTGCCTAAGCGATCGGTGACACGTCGAGTGGAACTGTTGCTCTCCGAAGCTACCCCTAATTCAGCCTCAACGTTCTGTAACTTTAGGCAGTAGAGTGGTAACTTGGCGAGTCGCCGAGTGACATTGGCGATCACTAGGCCTTCATTTCTTCGTTCTTTCAACTCGCTTCGTTCCTTTTTGCTAATTAGTGTCCCTGCTTTGTTCCTCAATCCAAATACCAGGAAATCAAGGATTTTAAATCAGTTATTGGCATAAAATAAGCATTTGAGGACACGAAATCTATCCAAATAAAGCCCCAAATGAGTCCAAATCTCGGACTCATCAACACCCCCAACTTAAACTTTTGCTTGTCCTCAAGTAAAACCCAAGTTCAGCAGTTCAAAAAGGATGCCTCAAATAGTGCTACACAAGACTCAATCATAAATGCACACAAAAAGACTCAACTTACTCATGCAAGGATCAATTGTGCACTCAAAGATTTAAGTTGTGACTCACCATTTTCAAAGATTCTCAAGTTCACAGTACTTGCTTCGAATGCAAGTTCAAGCTCAACAAAGGTACTAAAATTCCCTAACATAAAGAATGATTCCATATTCACACACTACTCTTAAACAATTTATAGCTTCGGAATCAAAATCAACACGCACACTCACAAAGATGAACACAATGCATGACTTAACCCATATGTTTGCCCTTATTTTCCAACCAACACTTGTTTCAGCTCACTCAAGATCAAAAGGTTTTTTTCAAGGCTTATAACGGGGCTGAGTGTAAATGTATGGTCATTTAGGCTCAGTGGTTGCTATCCTCGTGAAATGTGGTATGAACAATATTTCCTTTTCTTCTCCTCATCATTTTCATTCATGCGCACAATTCACCCCATTATTCATTTTCCATGAAACTTTGGACACCCCATTTCCTTTTGTAACTTTATTTCAAACCTTTTTCATTCTTTTTCTTTTTCCTTCTTTTTTTTTGTATGGAGGGGTTCCATCTTTTTCAAAACCATAGGTAGAGGGGAATTTCTTCACATTTCTTGATTTAGCTTCTTTTCACCACACCCTCAATTTAGGCTTTTAGCCTAAGTTGGCTATTCAAACAAACCACATCTCATGAGGATTAAGGGTGAAGGGATACAAAAAAAAGTCACAATTGCATCAAGTTTCTTCCAAGGAAAGGGTAAGGCTCAAATGGTGCTCGAACAAAGTTCACACACTCACAAGGTAGGCCACAAAAGAGGTATAAATTCAAATTATTTCACTCTTTAAAATTGTTGCCTAAGATCATTTCAAGAGCTCACATCAATTGGTCTACCAGACCAACGGGGCAAATTCTAGGTGTCATCACACAAGGTTCACGGTAAGCTCAACACACAAGGCATTGCCACCAATGTCAAACAAGACTCCACATTTCGCTAGTGTGCAATGTTCATCACAAGAGACTCAATTCGACAATCGGCTAGTCTCAACGAGATGCAAAAAGTTCACATATTTCCTATGCAACTTTATTTGACTTCATCGTAGTTGCACATTCATGTTTGTTCGATTGAGAGCACCATTCAAGTCATCGGTATTGATCACAACCGACACTAAAATTAAACACAACCAAGAGATGGAAAAGAATGCATCCAAAAGGGTCCAAGAACACAAAGGAATTTACTGAACAAGTACACACCCCCATCAAAAGCATTCAACATTGTCACCAATGTGAGTAGAGAATGAACACTCCCGCAAATAAAAGAAGAATTAAAATAAAAACTAGCAAATAAAGATAAAATTCTAGTATGTTAACATGCAGAGCAAGGTGACGAGAAATCTTCACTAAGCACCCAGTTGGCGAGAAAATGAACCAGTCGCCGAATGCTTCGGTGGTGCGCCCAATGAGCTGAATATCGCCCTTAGTTCTAGAGGGTGACACTCTCAGAAAGGGGTAAATCGGCAGAGATGCAAGAGGTCGCCAGGTCGGCGATTCACATAATGGACTTGGAATATCGCCGAACGATCATTGAGTTATGCTGCCAGCACTGAAGTAAAAAGGGCGAGAAAAATTGGGTTGCCTAAGTACGCGATTCGCCGAGTGCTGAAGGTCTCTCGCCGAATTTTCCAGAATCTCAGCCCCATTTTTGAAGTCCATAGGGCGGACTATGTCGTGCTCGCCGAACGGGGTCGGCGATCCGCCAATAGCATCTTCTTCTCGCACAATATCTTGCACCTGCAAAATCAACACACATTATTTAAAACACTAACACTTGGGTTGCCTCCCAAGAAGCACCTTATTTAATGTCGTGGCACGTGGAAATGCTCTCAAGCATCTTCCAGGTAAACCACCACAATCAGAGAAATCTCTTGGCACTTGCCAAAGTATAACTTCAAGCGTTGCCCATTCACCTTAAATGCAGGTCCGTCTTGACCTTTAACTTTGATGGCACCAATTGTGAACACTCGTGTCACTCTAAACGGTCCTGACCATTTGGACTTGAGCTTTCCTGGAAAGAGTCTAAGTTGAGAGTTGTATAGTAACACCCAGTCTCCCACTCTGAAATCCCTGTTAAGGATTTTAGCATCATGCCATTTCTTCATCTTTAACTTGTATAGGGCTGAACTTTCATAAGCTTTGAACCTGAATTCGTGCAACTCATTTAACTGCTCTACTCTCTCTTTTGAAGTCTTTGTCCAGTCCATATTTAGAGCTTTCAATGCCCATAATGCTTTGTGTTCCAATTCAACTGGTAGATGGCAAGATTTACCAAAAAATAGTTGAGACGGAGACATACCGATTGGTGTTTTGTATGCGGTATGATACGCCCATAGTGCGTCATCAAGCTTTCGAGACCAATCAGTCCTATTAGTATTCACTATCTTGGCCAAGATGCTTTTGATCTCCCGGTTTGACACTTCAACTTGGCCGCTCATTTGGGGATGATACCGAGTTGCTACTTTGTGTTTCACTCTATACTTACTCAATGCGGCTGAGAACCACTTGTTGCAAAAGTGGGATCCCCCATCACTAATAATAGCCGGAGGAGTACCAAATCTTACAAAGATGTAGCGTTTCAGGAATTGAACAACACTTTTTCCTTCATTGTTTGGAAGTGCAACAGCCTCCACCCATTTAGAAACATAATCTATAGCCACCAAGATATACTTATTACCAAACGAACTCACAAATGGGCCCATGAAATCTATTCCCCAAACATCAAATAACTCAACTTCTAAAATGGGTGTAAGAGGCAACTCGTGTCTTTTAGACACTCCACCTTGTTTCTGACATTTAGTGCACTTCTTAACAAACTCATGAACATCTTTGTAGAGAGACGGCGAGTAGTACCCACTTTGTAGAACTTTAGCAGCTGTACGTACACCACCATGATGACCCTCAACCGATGAAACATGACAAGCATGGAGAATTTCGATGGTTTCTTCTTCTGGAACATATCTCCTAATGATATGGTCTGCACACTCTCTGAATAAATATGGCTCATCCCAAAAGTACTTCTTAACATCGAACAAGAACCTCTTTTGTTGGTAGAAGTTCAGTTCGTCCGACATTAACCCACACTCTATGTAATTAGAAAAATCAGTATAGCAAGGAGATTGTTTGAGAGTTACCGTGAATACGTTCATCGGGAAAAACATCATTTATATCGATCTCCAGCTCGTCATTTTCCTTTCCTTCCAATCTTGATAAGTGGTCATCCACTTGATTTTCACAACCTCACCTAACTTTGACCTCAAAGTCGAATTCTTGCAATAAAAGCACTCACCTTATCAATCTTGGCTTGGCATCCTTCTTTGCCATCAGATAACGCAGTGCAACATGATCAGTGTGAACAATCACTTTAGTACCTAGCAAGTATGCCCGGAACTTCTCAAACGCATAAACTACCGCAGGTAACTCTTGTTCAGTAACTGTATAGTTACATTGAGCACTGTTTAGAGTTTTGCTTGCGTAGTAAATGGGGTGAAAACGTTTGTTGCGTTTTATCCCCCAATACAACACCTAATGCTGTGCCGCTTGCATCGCACATTACTTCAAAAGAGTCTGACCAATCAGGACTAATGATGATTGGGGTGGAAACCAATTTTTCTTTCAAGCACTTGAAAGCCACCATGCAAGCATCATCAAAGTGGAATTTCACCTCTTTCTCCAACAGTTTGCATAGAGGATGTGCAATATTTGAGAAGTCTTTGATGAACCTCTGGTAAAAACTGGCATGTACCAAAAAACTACGAACACCCTTCACCGAAATTGGTGGTGGTAACTTTTCAATCACTTCAATTTTTGCTTTATCAATCTCCAGCCCCTTTTGCGACACTTTTGGACCAAGAGCTATCCCTTCTTTAACCATGAAGTGGCATTTTTCCCAGTTTAGGACCAAATTTGTCTCCACACATCTTTGGAGAACTTGTCCTAAATGTGCTAAATAGGCTTCAAAAGTGTCACCCACAACCGAGAAGTCATCCATTAATACTTCCATTGAATTCTCTACCATGTTAGCAAAAATAGATAACACGCAACACTAAAATGATGCCGGAGCATTACATAACCCCGAACGGCATCCGTTTGAAGGCAAAAGTTCCATATGGGCAGGTGAAAGTGGTTTTCTCTTAGTCCTCAGGAGCGATGGAGATTTGGTTATAACCGAAATATCCATCCAAAAGCAATACCAACCTCTCTTTGAGAATCGATCAAGCATTTGATCCATGAAAGGTATGGGAAAGTGATCCTTTTCAGTCCACGAATTTAAATTTCGGTAAGCCATGCATACTTTCCATCCGGTCACCGGTCTCATCGATACAAGCTCCCCATTTTCATTTGGGACTACTGTGATGCCTCCCTTTTTCGGTACACATTGTACTGGACTTACCCATTTGCTATCCGCAATAGGGTAGATCACATCTGCTTCCAACTACTTTATTATCTCCTTTTTCACCACCTCTTGCATCGGTGGGTTCAATCTCCACTAATGTTCAACACTTGGCTTATAATCACTATCAAGCTGAATTTTGTGAGTTCAAATACCGGGAGGAATGCCCACTATGTCAGCGATAGTCCAACCTATAACTTTGAAATGCCTTATCAACACTTCAAGGATCAATTTTATTTACCATTCAAGCAAGTCAGCTGCAATGATCACCGGTAAGGTGTTATTTTCCCCCAAGAAAGCATAACGGAGATGGGAGAGAAGTACTTTCAACTCCAGATTTTGTGGTTCTTCTATTGATGGCTTTGCGGGAGGACTTTCTTGATTTTTTAGATCAATGTACAACTTCAACGGAGTCTTTGAATATCCCTCCCAAGCCTGAGAGAGAAGCTACTACCTCTTCATAGCCTTGAATTTGGAATTCATCATAGTTCGCAAGCATGGCTTCAAGTGGCTCACTCATACACATCAAGTGGCTCACACTAGCCACCGCCTCATCAATAACATCAACAGTGGAGACCACGTGAATATCACTTGGGTGTTTCATCGACTTACAAACATTAAAGGTTACTTCATCTTCGTTCACCCGAAACTTCAATTCTCCTCTTTCAACATCCACCAATGCTCTCCCGGTTGCCAAGAATGGTCTTCCCAAAAATGATGGGAATTTCAGCATCTATTTCACAATTGAGAATGACAAAATCAGCCGGGAAAATGAATCGGTCAACCTTTAACAAGATGTCATATAGTATCCCCACATGATGTTTAGTCGATCGGTCTGCCATCAAGAGTCTCATTGTTGTTTTCTTTTGGTTCCCCTAACCCAAGTTGTTTATAGATCGCATATGGCATTAGGTTGATGCTTGCTACCAAATCGTATAGGGCTTTAACAAATTGGAGCATGCCGATGGTGCAAGGGATGTTGAACGCTCTGGGATCTTCTCTTTTTTTTATCAGCTCCGATGATTGCACTACAACTATGAGAAACTTCGATTGTCTCAAAATCCAAACTCTTTTTCTTTGTGACTAACTCCTTCATAAACTTGGCGTAACCCAGACTTTCCAACAATGATTCAACTAGAAGGAGATTAATTGATAGTGTCTTGAACACTGATAAAAACTTCTTGAACTTCTCATCCTCATTCTTCTACTTGAGACGTTGGGGAAATGGAGGCGATATTTTGGGTAAAGGTTGCATAACTTTTGGGATGGGATTATGTTTCTCCACATCTTTTTGTGTCTCTTCTTCCTCTATACCTTTGTCTTCTTCATGTATTTGAGCTTCTTCATTGCCCGTCACATTGCCTATTGCTACCTTTCCACTATGAGTAACCACAGCCAGCCCTCTATTATCATCTTCCATTGCCATTTAAGGTTTTAATTTTGCTGAAAGTAAACTCAACTGACCTTCAAGTATCTTGATTGCATTTGCGTGAAAGTTCACTTTATTGTTCAATGATGAAAAGTCAGCTTTTATCCCTTTTAACAAGTCATCCGAACCTTCGACTTTATCAAGGATGCGTGACAGCAAATCATTCACCCGGTGACTACTTGCACTCCCTTTCGATTTTGGGCTCTCACTTGAGTGAGTGTCGTCCTCTTCATGGTCCTCCTCCATTTTCCAATACTCACTTTGCTCGGCCCAATCTTGATAGTATCTTTTTTGCTCTTCCCCCTTGTGATAGTTCCAACCTTGATTCTGCCCCTACTTTGAATAACCGGAGGAAGAACCCTTCTCAACTCTAAACACTTCACTTGTCCCTTTGGGATTTTCCACATTCTCCATCATATGCTCTTGTAATAGTTCCATTTGGGTCAACATCTTCTTGATGTTTTCATCCCTCTCTCTTTCCTTATCAAGTTGTTCTTGTGTCATTCTAAAACAAAAAGGAGAGACTTGATCCTCTTGGGTGTACCAAGCTTGATTTATTTTCGTCATGTCATCAAGAAGGAATGAGGCCACCTCAAATGATTGCAACATTATTTCCCCTCGTACTAATTGATCAGCCACCCCTTTATTAACTGAACCAAGACTCCGGTAAAAATATAGGAGTAGCAAATCGTTTGGTAGCCCGTGAGTTGGGCATTTAAGTAAGAGTTTCTTAAACCTCACTCACATTTTTTGAATGAGTTCACCCTCCCATCGCTTGAAACCTTGAATGTCGTCTCTAAGCTTCATCATCCTTGATGGTGGAAAGAATCTTGCATTGAATGCTATAATCAGCTCCTCCCATGATGTGATGGAATTGTTTGGTAAATCGGCCAACCACTTGCTGGCTTCCCTCGTCAAAGATAGTGGAAATTACCGAAGTCGGATTGACTCTTGTAACACATTCTTGAATGAAAATGGGCTGCACACCTCTGTAAAACTTCTTACATGCTCATGCGAGTCTTCATGTTCTAGCTCTTCATAGAGTCCCCTCATTTGGAGGAGATGAAGAGTCGTGCTAGTGACCTCAAATATTGCATTCCCATCATCTTGTGGTATGCAAATTGCACCTATTTCACCTTAATGAGATGGGTTGTAAACACTATTAATATCATTGATATCGTCCTGATGACCTTCTTGAATACCATTCACCTCTTCCTCACTCATTTTTACGTCTATGTAGTCAAACCAACACTACATAATGCAGCCTAAGCCAATTCAACTACAGCCAACAAATTCACAAATCAAATCTTCGATCAAAGAATTCTAAGTAACGCTACTCCCCGGCAATGGTGCCATTTTTTATTAACGTTTCAAGGACACTTCATCCAATTCTAAGTGTCAACGATAGTTAGTCATTATATAACCCAACCAATTGGGTTGGGGTCGATCCTACAGAGAGTAGATTTCTTTAGATTCAAATACGAAGGTATGATGATGACTTTACAGCTGAGCAGCACACACTTAAGATTTAAATAATCAAATCTTCAGGATGTCGTTACCAACACACTACAAAGTATTAGCAAGAAACAATCAAATAACTAGAAAAAACTTGGGGGATTGACTAACCAACTGTCGAATTCAACTTAATGGGTGTACATCATTACTGATAATGCTAATTCGTTACGGGTAGAATGGACTATAAGTAAAACAATTTTTTCTCGAACAATTGCCTCATTTACGTTGAGTTCTCTCGAACCTCAACACTATCCTTAAGCTAACCAGCCCACGTTCTCATCAAATCCACTCTTTCGAGCTGGATACAAAGGTTGGGTTTTGGGTTTAACTTTCTCAAGCTGAAACCGTCAAGACCCACTACTAAGGATACCAAAATACTATGTTGGTTCTGTACTTCTCTCTCGAGCAAGCACAAAACTCTCAAATATATCACACCAAAGATGCAATAATGAAGTTAAACCACCATAATAATTTAGACCCATTTCAGATTAACATCACAAATCACTAATTGACAACACCCATTTAGTAGAAGGCAACAATTGGTCACATATTCAAACCCCCAAGGTTAGGGTTTTAGCCAATCATGATGAAAATAAGAAAATCAACACTTGCCACGTTTTCCATAGCTAGGTAAATGAAATTTGGAAGTTAAAATCAACTAAAATCTTCTCTATTACAAAATCTCAATGAAAACCTTGCAAAAATCACTTGAAATCCACAATGGTAGTGTTTTTTTCTCTTAATCTTTTATTCCTCACGTTTCTGCATACCTTCTCTCTCTTGCAAAAATCAATTTATGCAAGTCTATTCTGTGGCTATTTGGACCAATCGGCGAGGTAAGTCGGGATTTGCTGACCGTTCGGCGACTCTCCGATTTTCCTTCATCTCGCCTTCATTTTTCACCTCTTCTTAGTTCAGCCACTGTAATTTTAGGTGAGCATGATCGGGATCGCCGAGTTATTCCACAATGCGCCCTTTTTCCTTTCATCTCGCTGATCAACACTTATCTGGATCTCCATCAGTACTTTTGGCAACTTTGTCATCCATCGCTGAAGCGATCGGCGACACGCCGAGTGGAACTGCTGCTCGCCGAAGCTACCCCTAATTCAGCCTCAGTTTTCTATAACTTTAGGCGATAGAGTGGTAACTTGGCGAGTCGCCGAGTGACATTGGCGATCACCATGCCTTCATTTCTTCGTTGTTTCAGCTCGCTTCGTTCCTTTTTGCTAATTAGTGTCCCTGCTTTGTTCCTCAATCCCAATATCTTGAAATAAAGGATTTTACATCAGTTATTGGCACAAAATAAGCATTTGAGGACACTAAATCTATCCAAATAAAGCCCCAAATGAGTCCAAATCTCGGACTCATCAGATACTCATATGCACTCATATCCTCAAAGGAAGTATTAAAACCACCATGCCAATCAAAAAAAAAAGTTCTCGTCCAAACTTAAGGAAGCCTCCTAAAATATTTACACCATTATTGGAATATCAAACTCGACATTATGAAAGGTTGAAAGCAACGAGCCGATATTCTCCATCATATAGAAGGAAGATCACTCAATTATTTGGGAAAATCTTATAGGGCTGATCATAGATGTGCTTATTATTTAGGAGAAGTTGGACACGATACAAAGAATTATTCAACCATCAAAAACAAAATTTAAAACCTGATAAAAAAA